TGATTTCTAGCACTTGCCACAACTCTTGACTTTTGCTTTATCCGTGCAGGCTAATTTCTCATACACTAGTACATCAGCATGGATGGAGGGGAGGTTTAAGTTAAAGCCTTTCTATTTGCTATAACGGGAAAATATCCAGAGTTTACTTTGTAAGAATCGATTCATCGATAATTGCAGTTATTTCATGTTAACAACAGATTACAGGCAACTTGACGTGTTGCCTATCGATGAAGTTTCGTTATGGAATTGAATGTTATTATTATCTCGCATGTAATTATTTATCTATGCCGCCCGCAAATTTGAGCCATGTGTAATGTTTGTGTAATGTGTAATGTTTAGGGGAATATGGCATGTAAAATGCCAAGATCGTGTATATTTGTTATCTTGATTGAACAAAGATTCAATTGCCTGTTAGTTTAGAACTGTATATGTTCAGTATATATAATTAAATATAAATAAAAGTAGTATCAAATGCACGTGTTTACAGTTTCAATACTATATATAAGTATGTATATAGCCTTTTCCCAAAGCAGCGATTACGCACAATAGAAATATGTACACCGTTATCTTCGGAAAATTGTTTAAATAAAAGATAAATTGATTTTACTTTTTTCTCAATTAGTTGGTTTTTGTTTAATGCTGATTTAACTAAGGCATTTTTATTTTTCCCAACGCTTAATGTCGCTGTCAACCCTTTCTCTTTAGTGTGTCTTTCTCTTCATTGCATTTTTGTAGTCTCTTTATTCTTTTTTTATTACCTCGTCGTACTCTTTTTATTATCTATACTGTCTTCATTATCTCTTCATTTCCTCTTTATTACCCCTTATTGTCCCTTCATTATGTCTTCATTGTCTATTCGTTGTATCTTCATTTTCTCTTCAATCCATCTTTATTTTCTCTGCATTGTCTATTTATTCTTTATTTATCATCTCCTCATTATATTTTAATTTTCTCTTCATTCTATCTTCATTTTCTCTTGATTTTCTCATCAATGAAAGAAATTTTAAAAAATATAAACGAGTATATAAAATAATTTATATTCAAGTTCATGCTGAAAACACTGAACACTATACTGGCGAAGTAGTTTTGCTCTGCAGCGCTCTAATAGTATCTAGTTCTAGTTTTTTTGTGCATACTTTCTCAGCTAAACAATACTTTTTCTATTTAAATTAAAATTATTAACATATTAGAAGGATATTACGCTTTTGCAAGCATTTTTGGACCAGATGTTTAACAAAAGGGTAAACATTTTCAAATATATCCTCTTTCTTATTATTGACTTTTAAGGACTTTCTCGATTCTGGCCATCAATGCTGGCTTTTTAGGCAGCGACAAAGTCGTATTGGCTCGCCTTTGTGGGAAAGCGTCCAAAAGCTTTTAACAGCTTTTCATAAGTTGTAGTAAGCAGTTCAGCAGGTCTGCCAGTCGATACAGAATGTTGGCTTAAAAGCTTTAGTGCCAAGCAGTGAACTGCTTGAAATGGGTGGCGATACTGGATTGGTCTTCCGGCAAGCAGTGTACTCGCTTATCTAGTGGGCTCCTTAAAATAATGCTATCTATTTAAGGATTAGTTAAGGATGAAAGAAGAAATAATAAATACGCAGTTTTTCCATTTTGTGACAAAATATTTGTAATTATGCAACAACAAAATTGATTTTCAAAATAACATTTTAAGTTCGACTAAACTGCGCTATCGTCAGCTCAGGATGGCAGTTAAAACTGCATTGTCGTCATGTCCAGACTGACGAGCAGTGAACTTTGTCATTTTACTGCTCGTTTTGTTTTTATTCAGCCTACATTTTAGAGCTTTACGACATATTCCGAAAAAGGAGTTGGCAAATGAATACGTATTAAAAGGCCTAGCTATAAACCATGTATTTTTCGAAACCTTAAGCACCTCTTGATTCGTTTTATTACGAAAGAACAGAATACATTTGTTGCACTGCTTTGTGGCTTCACTTAACTGTTTAGTGTTGCCAGCTAGAAATATTTTTACTGCAGTGCGGCCAGACCTTCTGACTTACTTAATTTTTAACCGATGAATATGAAGTTGAACCTAACTTTGGATAACATCTAAACAATGAGGCATTTTGGTAAAAGGATTTTAAACGAATTACTGAAATATACAGTCAGAATATTTCTAAAATTTTACAATCCTCAGTTTTAAAAAATGTTAAAATAAACATAAATATATTTCTTACAAATTCAACAAAAGCTTGCAAATAAATAAAATAAAGCAATATATGATTTGTAATATAATGAAATCTTTAAAAGAATTTCAGTTCATATTTAAATAAATTTCAAGAAATATTTCTCAACACATTCAAACCAAGAATAATATTAATATTCCCATATTTTAAGCAAAAAAAAAATTTGAATTTGGTATGTTTTGAAGATAGAAAGAAATTTGAGTCTAAAAAAATCCTTAGAAGTATTTTAATTAAAGTTTAAAAAATGTTAAAAAAATATTATACAAGTTTAAAGTCGATCCATTGTGAAATGGAGTTAAGTTGAGGCAATTTTTCCCCTATTGGCGGTAAAATTTTCTGAAACCAGCTCAGCTACTCTATAAAATACGCTTAAGACTCGAAACGAAGAATCCATTTTATATAAACGTTGGAGCACGTTGTTAACACCCATAACTCAGAATCACAACTCAAGCTTCATAATTTTTGTAATATAATGAAATCATTCTCTTTATTACTTTTAATGCAGATGCTCTTTTGTTTTTGCACTTAGGTCTACTATATAAGTAATAGTAATCGTTATAAGTATTTAATTAATGTATGTATCCTTTGCTTCCGCATATTATTTGGTATTATTAAGAAACAACTCAAACCTATATATGACCATATTGCTAGGAATTTAAAAAAACAAAAAAAAAAAAGAAGACAAAAACCTACGACAACCAATACAAACAACGATTGTACGCACACACACATACACGAATTTTGTCAAAATGTTCGATTTTAGGATTCGAAATCGTCGTTAGGTTATGGATATACTCGATATAGTATATACATATATATGTGTGTGTGTACATATATATTTGTATATGTATACATATATGTATATATGTATATAGGTTTATCGTTAAATACTTATGTTTGTTTAAAACTTGCTTGTAACACTTAATAAATTTTTAACATTGATTGCTCTTGCGTTGTGACAATAAACTATTTGGTATTATACATATATAGTATAAATATTTTGCACATACACATATACGCATATACATATATAATTCATTTATATATATATATATATATATATATAGTAAATAATTTGCTAAACGCATTTTCCTTTGATTATCTTTGACTACACCTTGACAGTTGAGAGTTTTCTAAATGTTAATTTTTAAAAAATTCTCTAATTTTGTTTACGTCGTCCAGCGACATTTTATCAAGTCAAATTTGTATTTGGTTTGTTTGTGGTTTCTTTTTACTCAATCTGGAGTGTTTTGGAGAAGTTGAATATTAAAAAATATTGAATATTGTTTAAAAAAAAAACTCCCAACTAGAGGAGACGGGAGAGGAGGTTCTGTTTGAAAAAATGCTAAAAAAGAATAAAGTCAATTTTAGGGCAGTTGTGGAAGACTGCTTGAAGTTGAGAGAGGGGAGATAGGGTGTGGATGAAAAGTTTACAGATATATTAATCTTTTGACCCAATAAAACCGAACCAAGTTGGTCGAACTAAGTATTAACATTTACACTCAAGTTTGCATTTTCTTTAAAGTATGTACAAACTAACTTAAGAACGCTACGATTTAGATGTTACGATATCATGTATATATTTGTATATATATATATTCATTTGTTCTTCATACATTTATATATATATAATTACTTTTTTTTTCATATATAACTATAACAACAACATCAAGACTTTGAAAAATTGTTTGCCACAAACTGGTTTTGTTTTGTTTTGTTCTGTTATCGATTGACATTGAGAATCCTATATACGAGTAGTGGAAGTATTAGTAGTAGTAGAAGGTATCTGGGTTATAGAGGTACATATAATATCAGAAGAAGGCTTTGATTGTTTCCACTAGTGTTGTAAAATGCTCGAACTGGTGCTAACTGCCTTGCTGGGCTGGGCAAGCAGCGAGCAGAGTTCAATGTGTTTATATAGTAGTATGTATGTTTGTAAGTGTACGAGTATATCTGGTTTCCTATATAGGTATATACTATACATATGCATATGTGTATATATATCTATATATGTGTAGTTGGCTTATTGATTGACTGATTGTTTGATTGTTTTCCTTCAGGTTCGGGCATTCTCTTAGCCTAATAGTTAAAGTATTACATAAGTATAGGTTCTTTGTTTTTTGGCTTTTTTTTTTAAAGGTATGCTTTATATTTCTCCTTTCCTTTTTAGGGATAGATGTATGCTTTTTTTTTTTAGGTACATGGTACATTTTACTCTCGTTTCACGCGTCCACGTCGCCGCCTTATGTTTCTTCTCTTTAAGCTAAATACAACATTTATTTGGTTTGTGTTTTCATTTCTGATTATGTTCGTGTTTGTGTGTGTGTGAGTGTTATTTTTACTACAACTACGCACTTAATTAGTTACAATTAAAAACAAACAAACATTTCAATTTTCGAAATTTTCAATTACACATGTCGCACAACATTTTCTAATTATTTTTCCGATTTTTGTTATTTTTGCAGTTGTTGTTCTTTTCCTGTTATTGTTGTAGTTTTTTTTTGAACCACCTAAAGGTGTGTGTGAGTGTGTATATATAAGTATATGCGTACCATTTGTAACTCTCAACTTTCTATTTTTTTTTTGGTGGGTCTGAAGCGGTGGTTGGTTTCTTTAATCTGTGTTTCGTTTTCAATTCTGCGACATTTCCGGATCTCGAAACTCGGTTTTGTTCAATTCTAAGGTCTAAACATCAATACGATACATCGACTAAGTTCTAAAATATGCAGAAAATTTGCAACAAACATCGAGCTCTAAGCATCAAAACATTATCATCATTGTATTATTTTGATTTTTCATCTCCAATCAAATTACAACTTCTTCAATCGTTCAAGCAGTTCCATAAAATATTTTCCAATGCACACCTTGAGAGTGATTTTGTTTGTTTTTGATTTTCTTTTTAAATTACACACTAATTTATCAATTCCTGAATGTTTATTTTTATGTTTTGCCATTTTCCGCTTTCCATTTCCTCGCTCCTTGTCCCTTGTCACCACGTCGGGTTGTTGGCTCTCGTGAGGGTTGTTGCTACCATTACAAGCAGAAACAGAGAGATATATAGAGAGAGAGAGTTAATATCATAACAGATTGATATCCAGGTGTGTCTGTATTTTACAAATTCTCAAAAACCACAACAGAGAACCAAATATTCCCATTTTTTTCAGATCAGATGAAGCAATTGGGATTCCATAAATAATTCACCGTAAAATTTGAAGTTTGAAGAGCAACAGTAAGTCAAAGAAAATTTACAAAACAATCGAAATTAATGGTTAACAACTCATGCTATGCATATACTATATTTGATCAAAATATTAAATGTACATAAAAAAAACAAAATACAAAGTATAAATATGGCTTAGGAAACTACTTGTGATTTGTTTGTTAGTTTTTGACTTTTCAATACAATCAACGACAGTAAATATTGGTTTTAAGTGAAGTTACGATACATTTTTATAAAAAAGAGGTTAGCTTAAGTCGAATTTGTCGAATATCACAATCAAAACAAGAAAAGTCTATACTAAAGAGTTTCAAGTAAAATATAACAGTATGGTCAGATTTGCAGATAATTTGCATACAAATTGTAATTTTGTGAGCACGCCTCATTCATTTAATATGTTGCATTAAAGAGCCACCACAAAGTTGCCTCAGATTAGCGACTATCTAGAATATATGTACGAGTACTGCGCACACAATTTAACGCAACTCGCTGGCCAACAGGCAATACAGATTAGCTTCCTGTCTCTTGTTTTTCGAAAAAGAAAAAATGCAGACTGCAGTCGGAGACTGTCAAACGAATTGGCCCAGTCCAAGGCCCTGGCATTGGCATTGCGGCTCACACACACACACACACACACACACACACACACAGGAGGCGCTAGCGGGTGTCGTAAAAAAAAGAAGAAATGGAAAGCGGAGACAGCAACAATCGCGCAGCATTAAATGCAACAGCCTTGCCCATACATACGATGTCCTTGGCCCCCTTCGTCGGTCTGTCCTTAAGCCCAAGAGCATGCCCGTGCTTGTTGTGGAAGGTTGTCGCTGTTTCCTGCCGCATTCATTACACTCGCACACACGCACACACACTTATATATATATGTACTCTTACACATATATGTACAATATATTTTTTATGTTTAGCTGTTGGAAGCTGTGGACGCTGGAGCGCTATTAAAATTGCAGCAAACAAAATTTACGCGCCCTGAATAGACACGTGGTTGGTTAATGGCAGACGTGCAAGCCCCCGGCACGAGGCGAATAAATTGGACAGGAAGATTAAAGCGCGAAATGGATATACCTATGCACACACTTAATTAGGTTGATGTTGCGCTAAAAGTGAAACTCCTTCGCTATTCGAATAGTAGGCCCTCTGTTCCCACAGCCATGCCATATATTTATATTCTGGATAAATCAAATCTTTTCTTTTATGTTAAACGTCGCCAGAACTCTACGGAAGACATTACTAGACTAAAAGGGGTTTACAATACGTGAATTTTGCTTAAATCGTTCAACAACAGGAATTGATTGTAGGCGCTACCTCGGTAGTATGGATTATAGGTCAAAACGGATACTAGTTGCTATTAAAAGATGATGCTTTAATAGTCTTCATCTTACCCTAACGACCATCAACCAATTTCAATCGAATACTTAGACATTCTTAGTTTTAGTTTGTAGATCAATTAGAAGGCAAATATAACTGAAACAAATATAAGCGATCCAGTGACAATGTGCAAACTAATTAGAGCTTTAATAGATGATGCTTAAAAAGTCTTCATCTCACACCACCAACTATCAACCAATTCCAATCGAATACTTAGACATTCTAAGTAGACATTAGTATATTAATAAGAAAGCAATTATAGCTCAAACAAATAGAAGCGATCCAGTGACAATGTGGGAATCTTAAATAGTCTTCATCTTACACTATCAACTATCAACCAATTCCAATTAAATACTTAGACATTCTTACTAGACGTTAGTAAATTAATAAGAAAGCAATTATAGATCAAACAGATCTAGTGACAATGAGGGAATCTAATAAGAGCCTCTTATTATTATCAACAGATGCCTATCAAACCAATTCTAAGGAACATATCAGATAATAGTTCGAATACTTTTATGCAGCAACAATTCGAATAAGCACCTATTAGATAGTACAAAACATAAATCGGAATGGATGATAGCTGCTTTTAAGATATGTAGTTGAAAGAGACATCATCTCACCTATCAACCATTTTCAAATTTTGTATTTGACAGCATAAGAATAACTGTTCGAATCATTCTCCACAGTCAACAAGTATTTGCACACAGCTCTTGCAAAATATTTACTCCGCAGTGCTTACTTTCACACGCATTTCATATTTTTCATAGAAAATTGAAATCATACCAAAGGTATGCGAAAAATGCACTTTAAATTCTTTCCCACGCCCTGACGTATTTTTTCATAAATACATTTCGCTTGCGGATAATTCCGCTCGTTCAAAGTTATTTCCATTCTTATAATAATTTTGCATCGTTTCATTTTCGTAACAGGTGCGGTTTAATCTCTATGCTGTGCTTTCGCTAAAAGCGCACTGTCAGCGAAATGGAAAAGGACAGTTTTGCTGTAAAAGAATGTTCGGTTCACTATTTCGCTTGGCGGCTTATACCATAAACGAATAAAAAAGTACAAGCAATCAACAAATATTTGTAATTGCATTTAGGCATGCGAAACAATTGGAGTTCGAACAATTTCGGTTGGTTACCATCAATAGTACTATATTTCAAAGTAGATTCCCAATCGGTATTGTGTTGAGAAAATGTGATAACTTTTCGTTTTCGAATGGCTGTCTATTCTTCTAATTTTATGAACATTTTTATATGCTAATATGTTGATTCTAAGGCGCATTTAATAATACTAAGTAGTTGCTATTTGAAACGTTTCGCTTGCAATTGCTAATCGAAATATTTGTTATGTGAACTTAATTTCGAATAATTTGGTTGAAGATAATTTTTACGCTTCGTCTTAAATCGGTTAGCAACAGAATCATTATTTCTGTGCGAACAATTTTATTTCGTATCCATTTATCGACTATCAATAACATTATTTCAATATACAGGGTGCGCCATCTTTTATGTCGGTATGCAAACATTGAATATCTTTGAAAATAAACAACAAGTATGAGATATTTTTATTTAATTTGGTTCTGTACAATTTCTTGAACTGAGGTTTTCAACACTGGTCTACTCAAGTCAATTGGTTCACTAATGACAAAGTTATTCAATATCTACATACCGACATAAAAGATGGCGCGCCCTGTAAAATAATTGCTTTTCGGTGATTTGGCTTCGAATTAAGAGGAAAATCCCATATCCGTTACTTTACCACAAGAGCCATAATAAACTCAACTTGGGGAGTTCAAGTGGCGAAAAAAAGAAGTAATATTTGAAGAATACGATTTTTCTTAATTACTGAAAACGAACTTATGAAGAAGTTAAGTAACTGAAGCTTTAGAAAATATGTTAGGCAGAGAGATGACATAGACATAGTACCATATATGAAATCGATGAGATGTTTTTGGTTTCTTTTTAGCTATGAAAGGTAGGCATTCCAAAAGATAATGCCCATATCCTTTGCTATTTATAAATGCATGTGTGTATATGTGTGTGTGGGAATAATATTTGACGCGACACTTACCATATTTATATGTTACTCTGTTGCTTAGTTATCGCTGCGTTGATTTATTTATTAATTGTAGAGTTAGATACGTTAAAAAATGCTCGGGTGGTTCTTCCTTATATACTTTGTCGTCATATTTAGCTTTCCGTCTGTTTTATTACTTTCTGCAATTAGTTTGTTGCCTCAAACACTTTTTATTGTTGCCGCTAGCTGTTCAGCTGGCAGAATGATATGGACAGGTGAATCGAGTGCGTTTCGTAGTCGTTGATGGGTGGATGTGGTTGGATGATAGTTGGTTATATGGGCGAGCTCTGGGCTCTGGGCTATGGGGGGTGCGGGTGTCTGCAGGTGTGCGAAAATTTTTGCAATTTTACTGCCAATTGCAAAAAAAGGAAGGGAAAAAAATTGTGAGTGGCTTTTTTGTTTGTTGCCAGTGCTCGCTGTTTTATCCTCGCGGCTCGTCCCGTCTCGTCCTTCTTTATCACGTTCGGTTGCCTCCAGTTGCAGTTTCATTTCCACATTTGCGGTTTCTTTGTTGTTGTTCTTGTTGTTATTGCGGAAATGTTCTTCTTCTTCTGCTACTGCAGCAGCTGCGGATTTCTGTCTCGGTTTCTGTTTCGCAGCAACTGTGCTGCGTTTTTTTTTTCGATCAATAGGCTGGGAATTGGGCTGAAAACAACACAAAATATTTATAAATTTCCTAGTCAGTGGTTCCTTGGTAAGTGTCGGTTTGGTTTTTGCATTGGCATTGGTATTAGTGTAGGGTATTCGTCGTCTCTCCGTGCTTGCCCCTCCAACAGCTTATGTCTGAACGGGCACATTGCTGTCCGCCTCCTGTAGCACCGGCGCCGCCCAAACGCCGCTGCCCGATCGCGTCTTCCTCTGCTGCACAATCCCATCCATAATGTCCAGTTGCAAGTTGTGTATGCTGCCACGATGATCGGTCAAAGGAGGCCCGGCGATGACACTGCCACGTCGACTGCCACTGCAAAATGAGACAAGTTGACAATTTTTTAATCAAACTATGAACAAACAGCTTCTTGCAAGCATCCCTCTCTCCTAGGGAACACAAAATTGTATTTCTCCCATACTAAGTAGGTTCAGCATCTCTGCCAAAATGTTGGAAAACCTGTACAGTTTGTTACCAAGGAGAGGGGGACATCCACTTCACATAAACTACACAAAAAATGTTTCATGTGCGCTGCTATTCTCAAGTGAGCAACAAAATCAGTTGAGAATTGAACCTAATTAGCATTAAACATTAAACAGAAAAGATTGTTTTTCCATACTGGCAATTATTATTATTATTTTGAAACCAATTTAGAAGCATTTGTTTCGCAGAGTTTGCACAATCAGCTGCAGAGATGTTTCCTCTTTCCTCTCTATTTATACGTGGAGCTTAAAAAATGCACCTGAATGCAACACTCGAAAGACTTGTTTGCCACTTAAAATACAATTTTTTAACAAAAAAAAAACAAATATATATATTACTCGTTGGAATTGTTTTTTTTTTTTTTTTTTTTGAATTTCTTGTCTACCGTGCGGTTTGAAGGATTGCATTTCTTTTTAAATTTTTATGCCCAAATGTTCTTAAAAACAAAACTTAATATGTACTTGTGTTTTATTTTTTAAAACTCTACCGAATACTTCAACTAATTTTTAAGCAAAGCCTCCTTATGTTAATAATTTACATAGAAAAGAATATTTCCCCACATCTACATGTTTATAAATCGAGCTAAAAATGTTACAGTGTTCCTGATGTTACAATTCGAAAAGTCAGTAATTTAACAAGTTTTTAATCAGTTTTGTCCCCTGTCTGTAATTCATAAGATAAACATTAAAAAAAACTAAAAACTAAAAAACAAGAAAAGCTTAACTTTCTTTTTTTTTCTCAGAAAGACATTTTTTGGAAACTGTAAAGAAAAAACTATGTAATATGTGACGTAAATCGACAACCAGAAACTACAATTAAGTTCCAACTAAAGGTCCTTATATGTAACACCCATAGATACTAACGTCTAGAAATGCTTTAAGTGCAAGGCAACTTACAAGGATATGTTAAGTGATCTTGTATTTGTGAAACAAGACTTTACTATAGATAGGTAGAAAATCTGTAATACCAAACAAAACCCATTAAAGACTCTAAGAATCTGAAATAAAATAAAAAGTAAAGGCCATCATCGCGCCTCTCACACACAACAACTCATCGAAGTTTATGATTTTGTATTGGAAAAACCCAAAAGGTATTGAGAAAGATGCGCCTTTCGAAAGCCTAAAGAAGGGCTTTACTTCGAGGCAGTCTTACCTTTATTTCAGAAAAAGTGTCGACACGCAGAGAAACAATGCACTTAAGAGTTGGGAGTCGACAGTCTCGAAAGATTGATTTTAAAAAGAAGCTGAAGGCTATTCAGTTTCAATCTGTCCGTATGTTATCCTCATTCTGTTCTATCGGCTGCAAAAATGCAGCTTCCGCCCCAAATGAGAGTTTTTCAGAACATGTTCGTCCTTGCACAAAAGACTGCTTCATAATTCACGCGAAATTCGCAGGCTAAGCACGCTTGGGCGTGTGGGTGCATGTTTGAACATGAACACACACACACATGCACACACACATGCACACACACATGCACATGGTATATGGCAGGGAGCACATCGAGCTCGTAAAATATGCATGTGGCAGAGGAAAGGAAGCAATGAGGAGCTGCAACATTGTGCCGGAAACCATTTAATGGTCGGAGGAAACCGGCAGAAATTTAAATTTCTTGACCACGCCAGCATAGCAACCACAAGCAGTTGCCCAAGTCAAAGGGAATTTCGCCGACCCATCCCCAACAACAAAATGGCCAGTAGGCGAGCTCTCGTCCCAGTTGGCTGTGCGCTGGCTGTTTGGTAGCCGACGGGACGGGTAAAGGTAAAGGTAAGGTAAGGTAACAAAATTCAATTAGACGCGCCACATAAAGTGCTCAAGGCTGAACCGCAGACTGGCCAGTACCTTTCCTTTCCTTTCCTGCCCTTCCCTGCCTTTTCATTACCATCCAAACAGCCATACTCCATCGACATCGCCATCGCCACAGCCTCCTTCAACCCCAGCTCGTGCACTTCCGCCATTAATGGCGCACAAAATTCCCAATTACGCACAGCAGTGATGAGCGGGCAGCCCATGTCATTCCCAGCCATTGCCAGCCATTGCCAGCCATTCTAAACCATTCTGTGTCGTTCAAATGCAATTACCTCAATGTCACGCCGGAAATGGACTCGCGCCGATTTCGTCCGAATAGCGTTGGTGGGACCGCCGATATGGTTACCACCGAATGCCGGCGGCCACCTGCCGCCGGATTGGCCTTCTGCGAGAGCGTGGCCAAAAACTCCACCTCCTTTGGACTGAGACCGCCAGTTTCGCCGCCAACCTCGGACAAACGACGCACCTGACTGGCCGTAATGCCCTCGGTAATTTGGAGCGATGGCAGCGAGTGCTTCCGACGCTGCTGCATGTCTGGGAACGGGCAGAGCAAGTACGGATTTACCGGTGAGTCTGGCTCCGAATCATCGCTATTCGAACGCTTCGTAGTGCTGGGATCAACGCCTCCAGCTGCACCCTCGAGATCATCACCATCCTCGGCGGTGTTGGACTCCTCGACGACGATGAGCGGCTCTTGGGTGCTCAGATTAAAGACGGGCGTGAACGAGGAGCGTCGCATCTTGAGGCTCTTCAACTCCTACTGCTACTTCCTTGACGGTGCGCTGCAATGAGAGCAAAAACGAATATTAAGTACTACAATTTTTTAAGCTTTTATTAAATATTATTGCATTCATAAGATAAGGCGATTCCCTATTGTTGGTAATTTTAAGTTCCATATTTGTTTCAGTCTAGTATCCGAGTAGTATTTTATATGCTCTTGGAACCTATAGGGTTGTAGCAAAAATCTCTACAGATTTTGCATTTGGCTGCTTGAAAAGCCGCTCGAGAATTCTTGCGGAATGTTTCCGATTAAACATTATATTAATATACTGTTTGGTCATCCGGCCAAAAACAGCCAAAACCAGCAGCACATCATAGTTAATAAGTAACGTAAATAACTCAATGCAAAGTGCTCGTTTTCTTGTCGCTTGCTTTGCATAGCAAGCCGAGCACTTAACGTTTCCTTTTGTTGCCATAAATTTGCATAGGCTGCTGCGCAGCCGCCACATATGTACTAGTTATTGTCGCTAACTCTGCAAGTCAAGTTCGTTTTTCGTTATCGCATCTGGTACGGAGAAGCTTAGCTTTCCGTCTACCAGCATAAACTTTGTAAATCTCGGCGATCGCTACCTATGCAAAATAAACATTTGTGCACCTCTTTTAAATTGAACAATTTCGTTTCGCTTATTTTGCAAATATTTCGCCAACATAATTTCGCATATTTGGAATCATAAAAAAGCTTATGATTATACATTTTGGTGACCCCGACGTGATTAATAATTCCACAAAACCTTGCTTAATCGCGTTAAAAAACAAAAGCGTACATAATTGAGCTCATTGTACACAAAAAATATTCAAGTACATAAGTGCAAAAATATAAGTTCATAGTGCCTACTGTACCGCCAATAAGCAGCCGTGTGAAGCGACGTTTTTGAGGGCAACGAACATCAGCAGATAAAACAGTTATTCGCGCGCGTCATTTATCTCTGCTATTTTCGGTTTTCGGTTCTCTCTCGCGTTCACAATGTCTGAGAGCGACGGTCAAATGCGCGCCTTCCAAGCTGTCGCATCAGCTGCTGCTGACGTAGCTGATGCAGCGACGCTTGCGCCAACAGCTTCGACGTCAACAGCTGTGGGCAATGCAGTGCAAGCTACGAGCAATAGTGTTGAGTTTTATAAGCGCAAGGCGCAATCATTATATGCGTGGGCGCTTTCTATTCAAAATAAAATAAATGATTGTGAAATTGACAATATTTCAGAAAGTGAGCTGCGAAAACGTGTGGAAATGCTGCAAAGTATTCAGGCCTCTTTTAATTTGGTGCATGACAAATTAGAGGAGCTGGACTTTGACGAGATTGGCAGCAGTTTGCGCTGCAACTTTGCTGAGCTGGTGGTCTGCTTGGAGGGCCGCCTGCTAAATGCAATACAAAGGATGCAATCTGGCGCGCCGCCGTGTTCGACGCTTCGGCAAGATGATCAGTCTACCATTGTGATAACTCGGTCTCGTTTGCCTGAGCTTAAGTTGCCTACATTCAGTGGTGGATATACTGAATATGCAGATTTCGCTTCGATGTTCACATCAGTGATCGCCAAGGATCCAGATCTCTCCGATGTGGAAAAGTTGCAGCATTTGAGGTCAAGCTTAAGAGGATCTGCGTTGGGCACGATTCGTGCGCTTGAGATAAGTGGTGCAAATTATTCAGTGGCGTTAGACCTACTCGACAAGCGGTTTAACAATAAGCGTCTTATTTTCCAGGCACACATCTCCGAGATTTTGGGCATTAAAAAGGCTGAAACTACAAGCAAGCTGCGAGAGTTGTCCGACAAAGTCAACGCAAATATGCGTGCACTGTTGAGTTTGGGCAATATGCAAGATGTAGCTGGCAGCATCGTCGTTCAGACAATTTTGGGCAAGGTGGATGCTGCGACGCAGGCAAAGTGGGAGGAAGCCGCCCCATTAAACGTTATACCGTCGTGGGAGCAATTTGCGACGTTCTTGGATAGCAGGTGCCAAAAATTGGAAAACATCGAGCATGCAATGGCATCATATTCGTCGAATTATCAGGTGGGAAAGAACAAAAACACTAACACCAAACGCTCGTTTGTCGCCACTAACCCATCCGCAAATGGTTGTCTGTTTTGTGACATAAATGCACACGAAATATACAGTTGCCCACTTTTTGGTAATTTGTCGCCTGTACTTCGTTTAAAGGAAGCGAAACGCCTCTCTCTGTGTATAAATTGTCTTAGAAAGGGACACAGAATGAGAACTTGCAATTCTGGATCGTGCAGAACCTGTGGTGCCAAACATCACAGTTTATTGCATTTTAATAATTCAGCTGCCGTAAATTTGATGCCTGAGCAATCGTCCGCTTCTGACTTACACTCGCGGCCGTCTTCATTGTTACTGCCACGTAGCGCTCTCGCAGCTGTTTCGCCATCATCGCTTGCTTCATTGCCTGCCCAAAATCTCGGCTCAGATGTTGTGCTCTTGGCCACCGCTGTCATCAGCATTCAAAATCGCGCCGGGACTTGGGTACCCTGCCGTGCACTGCTCGATTCCGGATCACAGTTGCACATAATAACTTCGCGATTCGCTCACCGGCTCCAACTTCGAAAGACCAAGTCGTCGGCCTCTGTGTCTGGTCTTGGTGACGTCAGTTTCAAGTCTGATGGTTGCACTGTGCACTTATGCTTGCAATCATTGGTCACTGACTATTCCGCAAATATTACTGCTTTGGTCGCTCCTTCCATTACTGAGAACCAACCAAATTTCACGGTTGACATATCTCATTGGGATATACCAAGCAATGTCCGCTTAGCTGATCCGGCGTTCTTCAAGCCACAGCAAATTGATATGCTTATCGGTGCCAATGTATTCTACGAGTTGTTGTGCGTAGGTCAGATTAAACTGGCTGATGGCCTGCCACTTCTGCAAAAGACTCGTTTGGGCTGGATAGTTACTGGAGGTGGCTCGCAGCGTCAGAAATCTGCTTTGGTTGCATCCAAGTCTCCGTCTACACAGGATTGCAATACACGAATCGAGCAGATGGTTCGCTCTTTTTGGGAACTCGAAAGTGGTGTCGATCCGGCTGTAAAACTCACCAAAGAAGAGTTCGACTGCGAGGAGCATTTCAAGGCTAATTACAGGCGCCTGCGTACTGGCGAGTATTCCGTCCGATTGCCTGTAAAGCTCAGCACAGATCTGCTTGGCGATTCCTATACGCAAGCCTATCGTCGGTTCATAAACTTGGAGCGAAAGTTAGAACGCAATCCACTTCTCAAAGCACAGTACTCTGCATTCATTAAGGAGTATTTAGAGTTGGGTCATATGTCGCTTGTATCGCCAGTTTCGCTAAATTTGTGCAAGTATTTCCTGCCGCACCATTGCGTTCTGAAGGAGGACAGCACAACGACAAAGTTGAGAGTCGTGTTTGACGGTTCCGCATCCACATCCTCTGGTCATTCTTTAAATGACATCCTAATGGCTGGTCCTTCCATTCAGTCAAAGCTCGCAAACACGCTTCTTCGATTTCGCACGTTTCCTATCGCTTTAACAGGAGACATCTGCAAGATGTACCGCTGCGTGCGAGTATCAAATCCGGATAGCTATTTTCAATGCATTCTATGGCGTGACTCGCCTCAAAAGCCTATTCAAGTTTTCCGTCTTGATACCGTCACTTACGGTACAAAGCCTGCCTCGTTTCTCTCCGTTCGCACTATGCATCAGCTGGCTGAAGATGAGCATGAGCTATTTCCTATTGGCTCCGATATCTTGCGCCGCGATTTTTATGTTGATGATTTAATCACTGGTGGTGCTTCTACAAACGAAGTCATAGAAATTATGAGACAAACCACAGGGCTACTTGCCAAGGCTAATTTCAAGCTAAGGAAGTGGTGCTCCAGCAATCCTGATGTGCTCAAACAAGTTCCGGAAGAAGACAAAGAAACTCTAGTTAAGTTTGATGATGGCAGCGACATAACAAAAACTCTAGGACTGTCGTGGGATCCTGCGACGGATTTATTCATTTTCACGTTTCTGCCAGCATTGACATCTGGTCGAATTTGCAAGCGCACTGTTTTGTCAACTATTGCCAGATTTTATGATCCGCTTGGCCTTATTGGACCAGTAATCGCAAAGGCTAAGATATTCCTGCAGGCGCTTTGGAGAGAAAGGCTTGATTGGGATGAAAGCCTTTCAGCATCATTGACAACATCTTGGCATAATCTTATTGCAGATTTTGAGCGCACAAAGCAGCTGAAATTTCCAAGGCTTGCACTTTCTGTTGGTGTTTCCATTGAAGTGCATGGTTTTAGTGATGCCAGCATAGATGCCTATGGAGCTTGCGTGTACATCATTTCGACCACGCAAGGCCAATCTCGTGCGGAGCTGCTGTGTTCCAGATCTCGTGTGGCGCCGCTCAAATCGTTGACCGTGCCCCGACTAGAGTTGTGCGGAGCCGTTTTGCTGGCACAACTCATAAACGAAATATCTCGTATGGAGTTATTCGACTGCAAGTTTTATTGTTGGTCTGATTCTGCAGTAGCGCTATCTTGGATTCGCAGCGAGCCATCCAGGTTTCAAATTTTCGTTTCCAATCGCATCGCAACTATTCAAGAGTTGACCTCTGGCATGGAATGGCGATATATTCCAACCGATTTAAATCCTGCGGACATACTTTCACGTGGAGCTTTGCCCAGCGAATTAGTCCAGTCCAACTTGTGGCTACATGGTCCCGCATTTCTGACGAAAGATAAATCTTCTTGGCCAGAGTCTTGCAATTCCGTCTCGTCGCTTCCTGAGCAGCGCTCTAAAGTGTTTGTAAGCACCACACTGTGCGAAGACATTGCACAGCAATGCAAATATGTTAACACATTTGGAAAGCTGCAGCGCGTGTTTGCATATGTATACAAGTTCCTGCACCGTGTACGAATTCCTGGGCTATCGGTGGACTGCATCCGTCATGGTACACTGCTGTTGATGCGCTCAATTCAAATGTCTACGCTTCGGGACGAATACAAGACCTTGCAGGCCGGACACACTTTGAAATCGTCTAGCTCC